GCGGTGACGAGGTGAACGTAGGAGAGGCGAGTGGGGTGTGAGGGAACCCGAACGGTTATGAGTACCGGATGCATGCAGACAGGGGGYGATAAGGCGGTGGGAGGACGTCGGCAAAAGTAAACAGTTTTCATTGGGAAGAGAGGAGARTAGAGGTGGGCTGYCGTGCTGCTGATGCAGCCTGTTATTATCGTACCTAAGCGCAACCTATGCACCTGCAACTGAGTCTCGGGCTGGTGGAACGGTTGTTGGCTTGAGTGATTGCTGTGTCATAAGGCTRCTGTTTTGGTCAAAACTTGGACGACGGTCACAAATTGCTAATTAMCACTTACTGTTGAGTCAAGCCGCTGCGGTTGTGCAGTACAAACTGCCGCCTACCATTGACAGTAGTAGAGTACCTTACTGACCTTGCCTGGGCGACCATGAGCGGCGRCTATGGTTGGTAGTGGAGTGTGAACTCCTTGAGCACCACCTCGTCGGGATGCACAGYGGCAGTGGAATTCYGAGGAGAGAGACTGCAGCCTTTTTTTTAGCATGGTGGCGATTTGGTCYGGGAGCCTGTTGTTTTGGCCTATATAGAGGTCGTTGTAAGYTGYTGCTGGGTGTCGTTGGCCGCTACAGGTTGCTTCAGGCTGTTGTGCGGCAGCGATTGKGCTGAGGAGAGGTATTGAGACTTGGGGAAGTGATCGGGCGGGACAAGAAGGGAGATTAGTGTCAGGGCTTGAGAGGCCGACAAAGGTTTGACTTGGCAGGTTGGACTTCGGAGTTGACCCAGCTGGTCTTGTTTTGGCCATCATTGCGGGGCCCTCAAGTGATCCAAGATTACAAGGCCCTCTCCTGCGAGACTGAGAGCACCATTCTTGGATCTGAGCGACTATAAATTTCCTCATTCTGTCCTTCTTACTCTCAGTCTAGTCCTTGGTTACGAGAGGAAGGCGGCAGGCGGGATTGCAACCCGTAAGTCCGCGTCAAGACTCTGTGGGGAGTCCACCCACCGATTGYGGGAGCTCTGCCGGAACTCAGGAGGGGTTCTGGAGGCAGGGAACCTTCAGGTAAATCATCTTCATCCGTACAGCCTTCTACTACCCATGTTTGCCTATATCCCTGTAGTATGATTGCCGTATGCATGTGTTGTCCCTATGATTTTTGTTTTCTCTTCATGATCATTCAGACTAATTGGAAAGAATGTGTGAGAGTGAAGCCTTAGTTTCTACTTTGTTCTGATTGAAAGCAGACTAAGGATGAACTGGGGGAAGGTGGGAGGAAGGTAGACTGCATGCGTTTGACCGGGTCAACCAAAGCCTGAGCATTGTTTCTACTGTGAATGGCTCAAGGCTATGTTTATTTGGCTGTTTTCTGAAGGACCAGACATTGTTTCTACTGTGAATGGCCTGGTCGCTGTGTTTATTTGATTGTTTTCTGAGAGTCAGGCATTGTTTCTACTGTGAATGGTCTGGCTACCTTAGTTAACTCTGAGGGATTGTCTGATTGAAGGGGTTTAAATTCTTGTTTATTCTGAGGGACGATTTTTGGTCTAAGGCTAAGCATTGTTTCCATGGTGAATGGTGTAGCCTCAAAACCACGCACATAATTTAAACTAAGTATAAAGGAAAGTATTTTATGTATATTTGCATGTGAACTGGCAGCTGGGCATAGTTTCTACTGTGAATGGTCCAGCGTTAAGCCATATCATTCATTAAGAAGAGAAAAAAGAAAATACAAAATATAAATAGAAATAGTTTGGGCAAGTTGAACATTGCTTCTACTGTGAATGGTTCAGTCCCCTGCCCATATTTGTCTTTTTCTTTTGGAAACAAAATCAGAGAAATACTAATCTTTGGATATTAAACAGCTCATGACGACTAGACATTGTTTTCATGGTGAATGACCTAGTCGTCTGCCCAAAAGAAGAAAGAAGTAGTTGTGCAACCTGTTCGTGTATATCATAAAGACAAACTGGGCATTGTTTCCATGGTGAATGGTCCAGCACTTTGCTTATGTAAGATGGGTATAAGGATTCAAGAACTTGAAGAACTTAGGATGGTGAGAGTACTTACACTTGCGGTTTGATTTGCATGTGACTGGATGGGATGACTAGTTTTGTTTGGGTTTCAATTTTATAGGTAGTTGCTTTAGTTGCTCGCTACGTGCTAGAGTCATAGCAGTTAGTGTCAATTCCTGCATTTTCTGTAATAACTTTCTTTACTTAGGTCAATTCATGCATTTTCAGAGATCTTTTCTTATACTTGACTTTGTGTAAATCTAAGCAAACTACTTTTCCTACGGGAAGCGCTGCCGAAATTTCTACAAATCCAATAAGTTAGTCAACTTTTGACTTGTTAGAGTTCAACTAGTCTTTTCATATACCTGGCTTAGTTAAAATCTGGGAAGTCTCCTTTTCTAAAGGGAGTGCTGCCAAAATTTATGCTAATTCAGGGAGTTAGACAAAATTGAACTTTGGGAAGCCAAAAGTTACTTTGAAAATTTGAACTTAGCCTTATATAAATTTTGGAATAACACTTTTCTAGAGGGAGTGCTGCCGAAATTTCCACAAAATTAAGGGGTTAGTTAAATTCAGTCTAAAGTTGAGCTCGAGCTTTCATTCGAGTTCATATCTGACTGAGTATAAATCTGGAAAGTTTCCTTTCTAAAGGGAGTGCTTCCCAAATTTTTACTAATTCAGAGAGCTAGACATCATTTGATTTTCGAGAGTTATAGATTATTTATGCTTTTATATCTAACTTAGTATAAATCTGGGAAGTTTCTCTTTCTAAAGGAAATGCTGCCCAAATTTCTACTAATTCAGAGAGTTGGACAAAATTTGGCTTTCCGGAGTTAGAAATTATTTATATTTTTCGTATTTTGACTTATATAAATTCTGAAAAGGCACTTTTCCTACGGAAAACGCTGCTGAAATTTTCTTAGTTTATGGGAGATAGATTATATTTTAACAGGTGGTGATACAGGCGATCTACCCAGAATAGAGGAGATTCTGCAGTTGGTCTATCTTTGGCTTAAGCACTGACTTAAAAGTAGACTTAGGTTTAACTTATAAGGAGATTTTGAGTGAGGGTGTATTATGGAGTTGTATTCTCCATACACTTATGATCTTAGCTTGGGGATTGATCTGTCGTGTGTTACAGGTCCTTTTGATCGTTTGATCCAAGTTCAGGGCTAGATCCAACTTGATCCCTTGAGGATCACTTTCTGTTATCACTGATAACAGGTTGGTTGTCGATCCGTCGGTTTACGACTCAATTTCAACTCACCCTCCACACTCAACCTAAAAGGCTTTAGCCCTGATGAATTTTATTGTTTCATTATGGTTTCACCCGGGCTTTTATTGAATGGCCATTTAACAAAGGTACTGAGTATTTAATTAAGGTTGGTTGGACAAGAGTTTTGAGGCTTGCATGACTAAAGCAAGGGGTATGAGTGTCGAAGGTGGTTGGGGTTGACTCCGTGTAGTGTGTGGGTTGTTGATTTGGTTCGTTGATGTGATTGCAGGTGTGTGCTGTGAATTAGATTCTGGATTTCGTTGCCTGCGAATCACATATATATGTATTATTGTGAGAGACCCCAGTGAGACTGTGAGAAGTGATCGTCACATACTTAACCCTTATATATGTATACATGGGTATACTTGGGATGGATGTTTGCATGGGGTGAAGAGCCCCCATACTAAAGTCCTACTCAGAGGCTGAGAATGAGGTGCTTAAGGGAGGCCTCTCCTTCTATTTTTGTTCTTGCTTTTTGATGATTTTCTTAGTCGGACGTTTGGTCCTGGGCCGGGATTCGAGGTCCTTGTCTAGGACATTCCAAGCCCTAGGCTCTGTAGGGGGGGGGGGTTCCCTCGCGCAGAGCCTATTTAAATTGCCTACCGAGACACTCAGGCCGAGAGCCGGAGGTGCTGCGGCGGATGGACGACTATTCCTTCAGCCGTGCAATGTTATGAAGGGTTAGACCCTCACGACACTTTGAGTCTGACACTTGAGTGTCATAAGCGGTACTCGGATCCACGAGGGACCGCTTGATTATGGACACTACATAGTACGCCATTATTGCGACTGCTTGCGTACGCCAGCATTGCAAATCGATATGAGTCAGCCCTGCGTCCGCGCGGTTTTATACTAAGTTAGCGTGCGACGCCTATCCGATTTCCGCGCCGGAAAGTTATGGGGGCGAGAAGCGTTGTCGCGTCGTTTGTGTTGTGTCGTTTCGTATGTGTGTTGTTTTGTATGTATGTGTGTTCGTAAGTGGAGTGCGCGTGGTGTGTGGAATGCGTCCTAGTCGACCGACGACGGGTCGCGCTTGGGACCTCAGCCCCCCAAGATGCCGATTTGCGTGCGGGTTCGATGGAGGCGTATTACCGCGCGTACCCCCTATGCTACAGCGAACGAGAAACGCCATCGGCTGGTCCACCTCTGCGATTGTAACTGATTAGCTTTCGTACTGTGGGTTGGTAGCTCGGCGGGGATACGCCCACCGAAGGGAGGTGACAACTCCCGTAAGGTGTAGGTAAGTCGTGCCTCGCGTAGGCCCTATCCTGTCGTAGGGGCTCGCNAACTCCCGTAAGGTGTAGGTAAGTCGTGCCTCGCGTAGGCCCTATCCTGTCGTAGGGGCTCGCGAGAGGTATGGCTGGCGCTCTCGGCTGGAGCGGCTTGCGGAAGCTCCACATGTATTATTTGCGACGAAGGATTTTAGACTAACTCCTGCCTGACGCGGCCGGGAGGGTCCCGCGCTGCCCCCGTGCGGTGCTGGACTGATGCGCTCGACAGTTGGCGCCGTTGCCGGGGATAGCGGAAAACCTACCGTTGTCCCTGGTGGAACGACATCCGGGTATGAGAAGTGAATAAGAAAAGGCATAAAGGAGTGATGAGAAGGTAATGAAGGAATATATGAATGGCTAAGTATAGGTGAGGAAAATTTACCGACCCAAGTACAGGAAGTATGAGGGACGATCGTGTTAACATTTGGGTAAAGTAAGTACTAAGGGTTAGGTAGGACGGATGAAATAGACCGGTCAAGGTATAATGTTGAATAAGGGAATGTGCTTGTTTTTTTTCTCTTATCAGGAAGCTTGAAAATAAGAGGTTGTCAAGATGCCTGAAACTGGCGACGCATCGGGTGCACCCAAGAAAGGCCTGACACTCGATGACCTCATCGAGGTTATCGACCGGCATGAGAGGAATCCAAGCAATATCCCAAAGGTCGATACTTTCCATTTTTGTGGGGAAAGAGTCTCGAAATGGCTGGAGCGGGTGAAACAAGCTTTGGTCGGGGGGTCGTACTTTGTAAAGTTTCAATGCATCCTTCAGTATGTCCTCCACAGCTACCACCAAGAGGTGAAGAAAGTCATAGATGCAGCCCAAGGTAGCTGGGAGAGGTTCAAGGAGGGGATGGAGAGGAAATACCGCCTGGGAGACGGGTTGTTGACTACCGCGGACCTTGAGGCGATGAACAAAGAGGATTTTACGACGATAGGGGCCTTTGTTCAAGAATTTAAGAAGAGGGCGCGGGAGGTCCATGTGATTTCAGAGGAAGCACAGTGCGCCATCTTCTTGGGGCTACTCACGGCATCGGAGGCCGTCGAGTTGACAAGACATGGAGGAGGTAGCACCAAGCTCACCTGGGCCATCATTGATAGAGGGGTGGAAGTGGGATGTTTGGACCAGGTCGAGCAACGTCAGGTACGCCTGCAAAGGCAGACGAGAAAGGAAAGAGATGCGACCGCTTCTGGGACCCCGGGGGTAACAAGGATTGTTAGAGACGTATTGGCACAACTAGGGTATGCGACAAAGCCGGTAGTGCAAAGGAGGGTGGTGACGGCTGTCAAAGTGAAAGGAAAGGAACCGGTGATAGAGGAGGCTGTTCAGGAGGAGCTCTGGGAAGAGGAAGAGCCGGTGCCGCAGCACCTGACGAAGGTCCAACGCAAAGTGCGTAATTTGGCGCAGGGCGGACAGGGATCAGGAAAAGCGCAGGCGCCTCAGCCCCAGGCAGCAGACCCTTTAAATGTGGCGGCTCCATCATCTAGTACGGGCCCCTCGCAAGGTGGGGCGCCCTCCTACGGACAGTGGCCCTGGCCGGTGATCAATGCAATTGTGCCATGGGGAAGCCCGCCGCCAGTAGCCGGACCGCAAACGAGTATGCCACCGCCCATTTACCCCGCAGCCCAGGCCCAGCCTGTGGCCCCGCCGCCGTCACCTGCTCCTAGTTCACAGGGCAGTGTGGCAGGAGGTGGGCACCAGGGGCAAGGCAATCAAGGCAACGGAGGGAGGGGTGGAGGAAGGGGGCGAGGCAGGAATGGCGGTAGGAGAGGGAGGCAATGGAATGGTCAAGGCCAGGGGTACCAAGGCCAGGGGTATCAAGGCCAGGGGAATCAAGGCCAGGGGTACCAAGGCCAAGGGAGTCAAGGCCAGGGGTACCAAGGCCAGGGGTAGCAAGGCCAGAGGGATCAGGGAAGTCAGGGGTATGGAAGACCCCGTTTTGATTGGAGGACGGCCATCTGTCAACATTGTGACCAACAAGGCCACACTATAAGGTTCTGTAATATAAGACGGGAAGATGAGAGGAGCGGGCTGATTTCCTCCACTATGGATGAGAATATCTACGATCAGTTTGGGGAGGCCATTGACAGAAGGCTTGGAGGGGTGAGGGCGGAAGCCCAGCGAAGGGCGGCAGCTGGGCCACCACCCCCTGTCATGTTCAAGCTATGGCAGGAAAAGGAGGAACCACCGATTAGGGTGGAGGAAGTGGAGAGCGATGAGGAAGTGGCTCAAGGGCTACGAGGAGGAAGTAAGACGGAAGAGCCCATAATCATCGAGTCAGATGACGAGGATGAGGAGGAAAGAATGAAGCCTCCGTCCGTCTTATTTGGGAAGATGGAGGACCTGCTGGATAAGATGGGGAGGTACCAACAGAAGTTGGTGGGCCTCTGTGAGGAAGTGAAGGGATGAAAGTCTAACATCCCCAAAATGTTCCTCTATGACTCCGGCCCGGAGTCAGCACCTGGGCGACCCGGAGTAAATGTGGTGGGGTCGTGCCCACAATCGGGGATGAGGGGAAGACCCCTCACTCCGCAGGCCCGGTTGGCACAGACAGTGCGAACGAGGAATCAAGCCAAGGCCAGTGCCAGCCAAGAGCCTCCGAGGAGAGAACCCGAATCAGGGAGAAGGAAAGAGGTTGTGGAAGTAGAGGACGACGATGATGAAGAGGAAGAGGACGAGAAGCTGCGCAGAGAGGAGGATCGGAGAGCGGAGCAGCGGGCAAGGAAAAAGGGAACCAGGGGAGAGGCCGAACCGGTCATACATGACGGACCACCCAAAAAGAAGAAATACACGGTTCGGTTGGAAGAGGGATTTGACGTAGAGAGAGTAATTGATAGGCTGCTGGAAGGGCATAATGACCTCATGACCCTGAAGGAAATCCTAGCTTCAGCCCCGCGACTCCGCGATGAACTGAAGTGGAGATTGTCGCGGCGCCTGGTACCCAATGTCCATCTGGGTACGATCCTGCCCAAGGAGGCTGAGTGGGCATAGTCGGGGACGAAAATGGACTGGAAGTGTGTAGCCTGCGGCACGGTGGATTTGGTGGTGAAGGGCTCCAAGTGTGCGGCAATGGTGGACACCGGGGCCGAAATGAACATCATTCGGGGAGCGGACGCAATTAGACTCAGACTGGATATAAACCATTCTGACTCAATATTCTGCACGGAGCCAGCTGCAAGGTCGTTTTTTGTGGGACAGCCTCGAATGTGTTCATCGAGGTTGAAAAGTTGAAGGCCAGGACATGCTTCTTCATAATGCCGGACGTGGACCATGGAATCCTCCTGGGGAGGTCATTCCTAAGCAGGACGGAGACCGTGATGTTCAATAAACATGACAGGACTCTAATTCTTCTCTTATGCGATCCTGCCTGCGGGAATTACGAAATAATTACATGCAGGAACACCGGGCCAAGGAGTATAAGGAACCGGCCCAATCCAGGATCATTCACGATCGAGGAGTCGGAAGGGGAGCGCCGGATGCTTCGGGCAGAGCCCGAAGCAGGAGAGAGGGTGGAAGCATTTTCCCTCAGCCTGTCAAATGTTGGGAAGGCCATGGACCTGGTGGCCGCGCATGAGATGGCAGATCCGGATGCCATCCAGGCCTTGAGGGAGCAAGTTCTGGAATGCCCCGAGGCAGGAAGGTTGAARTTGGTATATCGGCTCCCAGGCAGCGGAGGGCACCCCGTATCAGCACAAACACAATCTGTGAGTCGGCTTTTTTTAGGGGACGGCTCAAGCAGGGTTCCCCAAGGCGGTACAAGACGGTAGACAAGAAGTGTCGCCCGGTTCCCGTCCTCGTTACAGAGGACGAGGAAGCATATTACGAGAGGGAACGAGGGTTGATACGGCGAATGAGGGAGAGTGCTCTAGCACGGCCATGTCGTATCAACGAAGGGAACGAGGGGGAGTTGATTATAGGGGAACCCGACTTCCTACTGCCTTAAGAGCGAACAATGATGGTGGAATTAATGAAGAGGAGGCATCACGCCTATGCGTTTAGCGACGAGGAGCGTGACAGACTGGATGTGGACAAGATATCTATGATCCGCATCCACACCATGCCACACGAGCCTTGGAACATGAGAGGGGCGCGATATCCTAACCCTGACAAGGAAAAGAAGGTGGTGGACTACCTCGACGGCAAGATAAGTACACACGTCGCCGACTATTCTAGTGGACCGTATGCGTCCCCGTGGTTTTGCTTCATTAAGCCTGACGGGACGCTGCGATGGGTGCAAGATCTACAGAGGTTAAATGCGGTGACCGTGCGAGATGCTGGAGGACTGCCAAATGCGGATGCTTTGTCGGAATCCTGTGCTGGAAGGCCTATAATTTCGCTTATAGATCTTTACCCAGGATACGATCAGTTTTCGGTCTACCTGCCGGATAGGCCGGTGACGGCTATGCATACGCCGCGAGGATTAATCTACATGAACGTGGCCCCTCAAGGGTGGACCAATGCAGTAGCAATGGTCCAACGGGCCATGATTCGGGTTATGCAGTCAGTCAGCCCCCATATTACACAACCATACATCGACGATTTGGCGATGAAGGGGCCGGCAGTGAAGGAGAGCGATGAAGTCTCGCCAGAGGTAAGACGCTTTGTTTGGGAGCATATCCAGGACCTCGAAAAAATCCTGAGCCTGATCGAGGAGCATAACCTCACGGCGAGCGGGGCCAAATCCAAACACTGCATGAGGGAAGCGACTATTTTGGGGTTCGTCTGCAGCGAGAGGGGTCGGAGGCCGGATGTGAAGAAGACGGACAAGATTACTGAGTGGCCAGTTCTGTTCCACTCAGTAACTGATGACAGAAGCTTCCTTGGTACGTGTGGATTTTGGAGGGCCTTCGTCAAGAATTTTGCCGCTAAAACTGAACATCTGAGGAAGTTAGTTCGTCAGGACCATAAATGGGTTTGGGGTGAAGAACAAGAAGAGGTGGTAGCCAGAATGATGGAAGAATTTCGAGAACGAGGGTTGGTGTTAGGAGCGCTAGATTATGACGTCAAAGAGACGCGACCCTTCATTGTCGAAACGGATGCGGGCCCGACTGCTTTAGGGGGAGTTCTAATTCAGGCAGACATGGAAGGAAAGGAAAGACCCTTGCGATTTGAGAGTCGGACTCTCTGTACGACGGAGAGGAACTACTCTCAGTTCAAGAGGGAGACCCTTGCCGTCCTCCATTGTCTGCGAATCTTCCGGAACTACATCTTCGGCAGGAGGTTTATTTTGAGAGTGGATCCGACCGCCCTGGCCTACTCTCTAAGGAATTACGTTCCATCGGATCCGACGGTTGTCAGATGGATGACGTACATCTGGATGTTCAATTTCGAATTGGAACGGATACCTTGGAGTAAGAACCGGGCGGACGGGCTGAGTAGGATCAACTGGGATAAACAGGAAGGGGAGGCGGTGGAGAATACGCCCCCAATTGATGGATTTCTAGATCAGGAAGAAGATGTTCATCTCCACATCAATAAGTCGTCGCCGCGAGTGCCCAGCTGTGTAGGCTATCCTATTTGGCAAACACCAAGTGGGTATGAACGGAGGGATGAGCTAGTCCTTAAGCCCTTTGATGAAGAGGATCCCTGGGGTGGTAAGGATGTTCAGTGGATGATGGAGCTAGCGCTGGCCAGCTCGCATAGCCTGGTGGAGGATATGAGGACGATTGAGGAAGGACCTGGCCAGGTAGAACGGCATGAGGACCTGATGGGAGGAATGTATCTCCTTGTCAATACGTTATTGCAGGAAAGCCTAGACCAGTCAGGCTCGTTGAACCCGGCAGGGAATGTGGACGAAGTGCCTGAGAGCCAGGACGACGAGTTCGAGGAAGGGGAAATTAAGGTGGTTTTTCGTGCAGAGGAGTACGACGGGATCTACCTAGAGCTGGGGCTTCTTCTGTCATGTGAAATGCGGCTAAGGGATGCAAGCGATAGGGCTCAAAGGATGCTGCAGCGCTACTTAGTGCGAGACGGCCACCTTTTCATGAGAAGAGAAGTGGGGAATCCCAGGAGAGTCGTCTGCGGTAGGAATCGTCAGATCAACGTCGTAGCAGCGCTTCACGATGGCATTGCAGGAGGACATCGAGGGGTACAAGCCACGTATGCCAAGATAAGTGAGTTGTACTACTGGGATGGGATGATGGATATGGTCAGGAAGTTCTTCCGATCTTGCGTACCTTGCCAGGAAAGATCCCGTTTAAGGCAAGGAGAGCCGCTGCATCCAAGGCTAGAGCGAGAGGTGGGGGCTGTAGTGCATCTCGATCTACTTTTTATGCCGCTTGGGGACCAGGGCTATAACTATATTTTCGATGTGCGCGATAACCTGTCTGGCTTCGTAGACGGGCGGCTATTCGTACAAAGACCGGGTCAGTCTTGGTGATCTGCATCGAGGAGTATTACCTACGCTATCCTTTCGCCAGGGAATTCGTAATGGACAGGGGATCGGAGTTTACTTGCCAGGAGGTGCAATAACTTTTATCAAGGTATGGTGTGGCAGCCAACTACACCACGGCCGTGCACCCCCAGGCAAATGCTCCCGTGGAGAGAGGACATAGTACCATTACGAGTCTCCTGGCTAAGTGGACCGAAGGTAGGCCTAATCAATGGCCAAGATACCTAAGGGCGGTTTTCTTTGTCGAGAATATTACAATAAAAAGATCCACCAAGTACGCACCAGCGACGTTGTGGTACGGAAGGCACGCCACCTTCCCTATCGAAAGCTTTCTTAACACATGGAGGCGCCAGGATCTGGAAGTTAACCTGTCATTTGAAGAGTCGCTCGATATTCAGGCGCGGCAGGTAGGGGCGATAGAAGAAAGGATCCAGGAGGCGTCTGATCAGGTGGCGAGGAGCCGTATGGATGATAAGGCTCGATGGGATCAGTCTGCGCGGGTGGGGAAAGTACCCTTGGCAGTGGGAGATGTTATGCTTCTCTACGATTCATCACTGGAGAAGCAGTGGTCCAGGAAGCTCGATAAGAGGTGGTTAGGTCCTTACCGGATCGTACGGGTCGGAGACTTCAGGGCGTACCAGATTGAGGAGCTAAATGAGACTAAGTGGAAGGATTGGGTATCTGGAACGCGACTGAAGAAATTTGTGGTGAGAGAAGAGGTAAGAGAGACGACCTGACTGCCTTTAGAGTAGAAGTAGCAGGGTGTGTAGGTTAGGTAGGATGCATGCTGTATGAGTGTGGTCTAGTCTGAGCTTGCTTGATTATCACCTGTTTGCTTATCCCAATGTGTACCTGTTGTCTCCTTCGCCTGTTGTGCAGGTCCGACTTTACGAAGACAGCCATGCCAAGAGGAGGGAGGGGGACACGGTCGCCTCAGAGGCCGTTGGGAGCATCACGAGGATATGAGCGACATGGGCATCGCCATCGAGAGAGTACTCCGGTATACGATGATGGGGACATCGAGCTATTCCTGGATAGCTTTTGGGATCATGCGAGGCGTATGGGCTGGACCGTGGCCCAGGCAATCGAGAGACTGAGGGGAGTCGGCAGATTCGAGGAGCCCGTCGCGCAGATCCGTAGAGAGGCGACGACGAGGCAAGAGGTGGAGATGAGGATGGAGGAGTTGCGACCCTCGCCGGTGGGACCAGATGGCAGGCCGATCCGCCTGGAGATTGGAAATACGTCGGACTTCATCCCCGCATTTGAGTGGTTCATGCAGGGGCAAGGCATACCGAGAGATGATTGGATGCAAACGCTACCACTCTGGACCAGGAAGGCGGAAAGGCCCCTGGCTAGCCAAATCAGAGACATGGCCCGGGACTGGGAGAGCTGCAGGACACATTTGAGAGAGGCCTTTCGACGGCCAGAGCCCCCCCAGCCCAGAGTCGAGAGGCGTCAGAGGAGTCAGAGGCCGAGGGACCCTAAGCCCAGGGAGGAGAGACCGTCTCGAGGAGGACGGAAGGCCCTAGCCATGAGAGAGAAGGAGCCGGAGCAGGAGCCAGAGGTTGAGGAGCGAGGGGCATACCCTGAGTGTGGGTTGGGACCAGTGGAGTTCCATCGTTTTACTGTGGGTGGATTGATGAGGTCGCCAACACACACACAAGAGGAGCCGCCAGTGTCTGAGGGGCCTTTGAGGAAGTTGGAGACGCATCTGGATATCTCTCAGTGGAGAGCGTCGCCTCAGGGTGAGGAGCATGGAGAGCAAGCAAGGGAGGTGCCGCGGGAGGAGGTCCAGGATACTCCGCGGGAGAGAGGGCTGGGCGATGTGGGGAGACGTGCAGGGAAGGAAGTGATAGAGGTTGGAGAGGACACGCCCCCACAGACGCCAGCAGTGGGCTTGAGACTCGGGGATGCACCAGGAAGCACTCGCCAGGCGTAGGAGAGGATCCAGAGAGAGAAGGCCCGATTACCTTCATCAGAAAAGGCCCCTTCGCTAGAAGGGAGGGCAGAAAGGAGGAGAGAGAGGACAACTGTAAAGAGAGAAGCCTTGATCCTGATTGACAGGCACCTAGCAGCTCATGCTCTAAGGCACCCGGACCTGGAGGAGCCAGCACCTGCAGAGCCGCGCCAGGAGCCGTGCCAGCCCGAGAAGGAGATGGAAGCAGAGATCCCAAAGAGGGTCGACCTCCGCACGAGGGAAAGGGCGCCCGCTGGAGAGACGGCTGAAGAAAAGAGGGCGAGAAGAACCAAGCTAATAGGTGAGATATGGCAGGAGAGGCAAAGGTTGGAGGCAGCGGGGGAGCTTCCGGAGCAGCAGCAGGAGAGACAGAGATCGGAGGTAGCAGGAGCACTCCCAGGTCAGCCACCCAGCGCACCAGCTAGGGCTCCGGAGATTCCAGAGATGTGGAGAGACTTTTGGGAGCAGAGAGGAGTGGAGCTTCCTTCGCCAGTTAGAGCCGGGTTTGGGGTGGCCAGGAAGGCGGAAGAGAGGTTAGATCGTAAAATTAAGTTCCTGGCCAAGACCACTTTTGACCAGCACTTGTTATTGGAGGGCGATCTGGCAGGGAAGAAGATGAAGGAAGCAAGCAATGGAGTACGCCTGGAGGCTATGGAGGTGGAAATTCAGGAACTCGGGGCATTGGTAGCCAGTCAGGCTGCTATCATTGAGAGCCTGAGGCAGCAAACCCAGGGAAAGGTGGACAAGCCAGAGAGCAGCAGGCAGGGAGAGCAGAGACAGCCAAGACGTGGATTACCGGGACAACCATCTGCAGCAGAGCCTCGCCAGGAGCCACCTATGGAGAGAGTTATCCTGGAGCCATAGGAGGCGAGAGCCCAGAGACAGGCAAAGAGAGAGGCGTTCAAGTTCAGAGCCCCTACCGAGCTTGCGACGCTGCCGGTAGCAGCGGCGGGCCCAGTCGTACCTTTGGCAGTTGAGGAGGGGCTACCACCATCTAGAAGTGAGCCGGCTCAGGGCTCAGCAGAGGGATCCATGGGCGTGCTCCTTGAGGCGGTGCATACTATGCAGGAGGAGGTGAGTTTGTTTTCACATGAGCAGAAGATAGAGGAGCCTCTTGAGAAACAGATAGGGATTGGGGCAGAGGGTGTCATCGAGAGCATGCTCAAGAGGATGGGCACGCCTGAGTATGGGCCAGAGGAGATTGAGGAGCAGCCCATGGCAGTGCCAGGAGAGACACTCGAGAGGAGACCTCAGAGGTTGGACATGCTTGAGTACGTCCCAGTGACAGAAGATTTGAGGAGCAGACTGGGGTCTTGGGCTACAGGATCTGGGTCTGGGGGACCGGTTCCTGGAATGGAGCAGCAGGAGGTCGTTAGTACCGCAGCTCCTGGGACAGAGCAGCAGGGGGTTGTCAGTACCTTGGTAGGATCTCCTTCATCATCGCCTCCTCAACCCAAGAAGAAGAAGTTCAAGAGGAAGGTCGATCAGCTATGTTTCTACTTCAAGAGGGACGTGCATCATGCTCTGGACTGTCTCGAGTTCCTTGAGGATAAGGCAGCAGGGAAGGTCTAAGAGGTAGGGGGTAAGATGTATGATAGACAGGGTAGGATAGTAGAGAAGTCCGCATATGGACTTAGGGCTCAGTTAAATAGGCAAAACCAGGAAGAGTTGAGGAGGTAGGGCCGGTTTTTTCTATATAAGTGGGCGAGTATCTTGTGAGGCATCAACTTAGGTTCTGTGTAATATCCTCTTAGACGAACTCTAGTATTCCTACTAAGATGGGGCCTTGAGGATCAGGGTGATTTAGACGAGGCATGTACATATTTAGGTGGCCTAAACCCTGGCCTTTGAGAGACAGATCTGACATGTATTCAAGGGATAGTTATCAGTGTGGGTTTGGTGTGGCTTGAGTTGAGTGAGCTATGATTTAGAGACACTTTCTGTGTGAGACATTTTATTCTCTGAGTGTATATTATGATGAGGTTTTATTTCAGGGACCATTCTTATATGTGACGATCACTTGTCTCTCTCACATGTGGGTTGTACTCTGATGTATGATGAGTTTGTATGGACAATATGTGAAAAACATTTTATATGACATGGGTACTGTGAATATGATTGTAAGCAAAAGTTGCCTACTCCTCGATATACTTGTGCGACCTGCCCCCGGGCAGCTGATAGGGCAGAGTATAAGGCGAGGAAGCGCAGCCTGTTTGTGAAAAATTGTGAGGATTTTTGAAGAATTATGAGCCCAGGATGCTCAAAATGCTTACTATATTGAATATTGATTGCTTAAGTTGTGATGAGGACCCATAAGATGGTCTCTCAGTGATTTTGTTTATGATAAGCCCCCTTGGATTTTGGAAAAGGGGATGTTTTGTGATGTTGTGTGTTATGATGAGACCTCCTCGAGTTTTGAGGAGGGGAAGTTTGGTTTTATGGCGAGACCCCTCGTGATTTTTGGAAGAGGGAGTGTATTGTTTTATGGCGAGACCCCTCGTGATTTTTGGAAGAGGGGGTGTTTTGTTTCTGTGGCGAGACCCCTCATGATTTTTGGAAGAGGGGGTATTTTGTTTATGATGAGAGCCCTTTGGATTTTTGGCAAAGGGGATGTTTTTGTTGTTGGGAGACTCACCTTCAAAGGTGAGTAAACTGATTTATGACATGGTAAGTTGCCTGATAAGTGATAAAGTTTGACGAAAAGGGTCACTCCTTGGAATGTTTGAGAAAGTCGCAATGAGTGCAGGGCGAGAGATGTCTCAGGGTGGGTGGTTGCTGGCTCTGATCAAGTCAGGGGTCACGGCCTGGTGGATTTAGCGGTGATTTTGTTTGTAAGCGAGCGAAGGATGCCATGCTAGTGATTTTGTATTGCGACGCCCCCGTTTAACCACTGGTGCTAATTCTGAGACATATTGAAGAAAGACCAAGCTAACGGAAAAAAAGTTAGTACCTCTAGGGCGTAACCCCATTGGATGGCTGCTAGCCGGCGCAACCTGGTTGCGGGACCGCGGGGTAAGAGTTTAAGGGGAGTTACCCGCCCAAGGGAAATTACTCCGTGGGATAGTGAAGGTTGAGATTTTGGGAGGTCCTGATTGAGTGCTTATCAGGAGAAACCCTATCGTTGCGTAACCAACGAGGGTACTGTCGTTAAATAACAATGCGGTGGGCCGTAGTCCTGGTCCGATCAACCAGGCTATGGTGAGCCAAGATGGAGACATGGCCTTTCTGTACTAGATGCAGAAAAAGCGGAGTGGATATTAAGTATACATATATACTTATGTGTATTTGATTGCGAGAGATTTTGAGAAGGAAGGCGAGAGTGCCTTCAAAGGTCTCGGTTACGGCCCGCGTCCCTAGTTTTTGCCAGGACTAGGGACACCCAACGAGAAGCCGAAGGTTGTCTAGGACCGGGGAGAGGACGATTGGGAAGGTCTTTGGAACTTATGTTGTCAGCGTCCTAATTTCTGGGCAGTGAGAGGCCTGGGTTAGAAACCTGGTAGCATATAGTTGTGGAGGCATGGTTTGATGGAGGCCTCTACCCTGTGTTTGTAGGCTAATCGGATTGGCTCATTTCTTTCGTCAGCATTTAGAATGTGAATGGATTTATAGCTTTGTAATTTGGCGAAGCGACAGGGATGTCGCTTAATATGGTCCGGTAAGCTATCGGTGCGAATACCCTTACAAGAGTATCCGCCCTGTTTTTTGCAAGTGATAGAAAATAGTTTTGGCTTAAAGATTAAGTATACCGCGCTAGGAGCGGCCTCGTCTGTGACTTACGTCGGCTGGATGTTTAACTATAATAGAGAGTGCGTAAGGCGAGCGGGTTTGAGGCGCGCGTGATTCCTTTTTGTTGTTGATCACAAAGCCGGCACGAACGTCGGTCGTTTTGTTTAATGATATTATTAATACCTATTTATTTTTGATTAAGTAGGAACTAGGGATATTTCCCTTTGATTCGTGCGTTGGCTGAGACAAGCGCGCGTGCGAGAACGACGGCGACGAGGGCGACAGTGTGACTGTGGTAGGTCTCGGCATGCGGAGGGGCACGAGGGGCGGCTGTAGTACAACTTTGGTAGGTCGGCGCATACGTTGGGCGGCCGCGCGCACGGTTGTAGTTGGAGATGAGGCCAATTTTCTTGGCCCTGAGCGCATCGCCGCATCGCCTTATAGGACACTTGACGTGTATTGGTCTCAGGCTTGGGCTTAGCCCTATAGGTTACGGCATTGGGTTGACAATACGGAGGTTCGTGGATCGAGGCCGGCGGGTGTCGGTAAAACAGCAGCGGAGCGTCGGGGAGGAAGCCGATGGGGTTAAGGGCCGAGGGGCTATTCCCCTTGGTTTTTGCCATCAACGACATTCGATCGGTGGTGACATTTCTCTCTAAGTGAATCAATTTTTTACGTCGTAATATATATATATATATATATATATATATATATATATATATATATATATATATATATATATATATATATTTATTGCCCCAACGCCCATTTGGCTAGAACGTGGTGCCTAATTGAGTGGCCGTTCCAACAATCGAGGACCTTGAGCACGCGCCTCTTTTGGCTGCCCTACAGGTTCCTGTCCGTTCGGTATGCTGACGAAATTCTTCTATCCTACCCGTCTCAAAACAAGAACCAAGGGGTTTAACCTGTGTGCAAATCGGTGAGTGATTAGCTCATGGGGCGGAAGATATAAGGCTGGTGGGGGCGCTCTACAGGGGTACCGCCGCCGCCCGCGGGTTACTGAGAGAGATTTGAGTGTGAGCATGCCCCGTTGAGGCCTGATAGACGGAGGACCGGTGGGAGGCCGCCGCAACTTGGTAGTGCGGCAAGCTGTCCCGATAGTAGGAGACTTGGAACCCCACCCACTTCGGTCTTTAAAGTTCTTAATTGAGTAATTGCTACTATCACCAAGATCTACACGAGGACCTGCCTCGCCGATTCACGCTATAGGCTATACAGGCAGGCCCTGTTCGCCTTTGCCTGTCGCTGCTTTGGGACTGTCGCACCGTTGAAGTATGGGCCGTGCGCTTCAGAAACCAGCCCCGGTGGGCTAACCGATTCGGCATGCGGAGTAGGTACACACCCCTCGGTGGACCTTGACTGTCATGACTACCGCAGCTCGATCGGTTGCCTCTGTAGTTCCCTATCGGGTAAAAGGAGTAGTCGGGCGGCCTTCATCAAACCGCTGTGGGGAGAACCTCTGTTAGAGCGCTGCGACGGGCGGATCGAAGGAAAAGGGTCGAAAGACGGGTGTAGCAGTAGTCTTTCGAGCGCAACCGTAGTAGTCGCTGCGATAGGACGGGCCAGGCCGCCTGTCGAACAGTGTTGGGCGTCGTGGGTCCGCTACGGCTGGTCGCTGCGTTAGCAGCTGGGAGACGGCGACGATCCCGACCGGTGGGAGAAGGATGAATTGGGTCGGGAACTCAGGCCGGGTACATGCGCAGAAGGAAAGACACAGGGCGCGTGAGGAGAGAGCGGGGCTATGAGAGGCGGAGGATGGTAGGCATCGGGGGAGGCTGGTAGAAGTAAGTGGGCGCAGGCAGGCCAGCGTCGGGCGTTAGAGCTAAGGAAGGGGAAGAAAATGATTTGGGACAGGAATGCGCGCCGGGTACGTGCAAAGATGGAGATGGCGTGAACGAGGTAGAAGAAAGGAGTTACCACTCGAGTCTTGATAGAATCGAGCGGGGAAAGACTTAGAATAAAGGTTTTAGGATAGGGCGATTTCAGTAGGAGCGTTAGTTTTGGTAAAAGGTTAGTAGGTAGAGGTTTAATAAGAAGATCTGCTATGCAGAGTCATGGCGATGGGAGGATATGGCGGAAGGAAAAATTGAATAACTTTTTCGTTCCCCGATGGTTTTGGGCGGGGGGGAACATGCGGCTTCCGAGGACTGATATCGGGCGAATCAGATCATGAAGTTAAAATTGATAGGAAGTTAGTATAGTAAGAGTTAGTGGGAAGAAGCCGCGCGCGGAGCCATGGTGAAAGGGAGTAGGAGGGAGAAAGTTAGTATATCTCGGTCATATTTTGACCGATTTCTTTGAAGTAAGACTCGAATTCGGGGTTTTCTGATAAAGCGATTTCAGTGGAATCATTAGTTCTTTAATTAATGGAGTAAGTTAGGAATTAGTGAGGAAGTAGGCTGCGCCTAGAGGGAGGACTGTTTTGCAGAAATGCAACGAATACTTCAGCCTTTTTGCGGAAGATACGTTCGATTCCTCCCAGTCATTTCCGTGGGAGGGAATGCTGCAGGCAGGCGGTAAAAGAGGAGACTTACCTGTGGGCCGAGTCGATGCTCCTCCCGGACAGAAGCGGCGTGAGGCTGGCCGCACACTCGCATACACATATACACACAGAGAGAGAGAGAGAGAGAGAGGGAGAGAGAGACGCTTACCTACTCGAAGTCGGCAGAAGTAGTGGCGAGGAGGCGAGGTACCTGTTGGTCGATACGACGCTCATCCTGTTGGCGGGAACAGCGGTGCCCATTGCCGCGGGGCTTGGGTACGGGGGGCGAAAGACTAATCGAACCGTCTAGTAGCTGAGTCCCTCCGAGGTTTCCCTCGGGATGGCCGGAACTCGGGTCGATCGGTCGCAGCGGGGCGGAGGGACTGACCGGACAGCGCTGCGAGGCAGCGAGGAGGCAGCAACCGAGACAACGG